TGAGGTCTTGCCTTACTAAGGCTTCATTGCTTTTTCAAAATACATTGCATATGTATACTAGTATATTGTGAAGCTTTATAAATACAGTTGAACTACACATGTCAGGGTAAATGAACAGATTACATTTTATGATGCTTTTCCTTGATTTTCTTATCTTGCATTTGTTTTTTTACTTGCTAATTAAAAACATATTCTGCCATCTATGCTGGGTCTCCCTGCCATGAGAGTGAATTTACCTGGTTTCACCATGTTATCATATTAAGTCTAGTGCATTCATTTAGTCTCCTGCCCATGTATCTGCTTTTTCAAATGTGTGACTACCAGCCACACTGCACTATCTCACCTGTTGGTCATTGGAAGAGTACTTCATTGATGACGTAGAAAATATATGAGTATACCGCTGTCTAAACCATTGAGGATTTTGTCAGTGATCTTTCTGGAATGAGATGGATCTAAGAAAAGTAGGTAGATTTTAGAAGAAAGCCAATATTTGGGTTTTTGAAACACTGAATTATCTAAAAAATCCATTTCTTAGATACAGATATGTGAAATGCAATTGGTTTTATTTTGGGTTTTTGCTTGTTACTGTATTTCTTTTTTGCCTGGCACACATAAGGAAGACCTTTTGTGTAATTCCAGTAAAGATGTAGAATGCTATGTCTAATGTCCTGTACTGTAATTACTTAAGAAATTTTGCACATTTATAATAAAGATATTACCTGATCTCCCTAGTGAATAAATACCTTATTTTTATATACAGTAAGTTGTCTAAAAAACAACAAAAGTGTCAAAGCAGCTCTATGCCCTCCACATTTCTATTCCTACTGTTGACTTATATGGGCTATTTTACAGCAGTCTGATTGTCCTGGGATGTGACTGAAGTGGAAAGTACCTGAAATTCTATGGGTGTGCATACATATAGATAATGAAATACGCCCTGGGATTTGGTTGGCAATACATTTCTACTATCACCTCCTGCAAACAATGGCTGCTTGTACAATCAAACTGACAGTTTTGGCCATGGGAGGGAGTATAGTGATTCAGGGGTAACATTTTCAAGTGTCTAAGTCCCATTTTCATAAGTCTCATTGACTTACAATGAGATGTAGGGTCCTAAATCACTCAGGTGCTTTTGAAAAATTTAGCCTCAATTATGTATCCAATTGAAGAGACATCAGAGACAGTGGTCGTAGTGGGAAGGCATTTCTTTCAGAAACCCCATGTTGCTGACTATGGAGCGGCAATAACATTTACTCATATTTAAATGTGGAAACGTGTCCTTATCTTTCTAGAGTGGATTTCTATAGATGTAGTTTATCCTGTGATTATTTCCTAACTGCTTGAGCCATTGCAAAGGCTGACAGCAATTTATGTGCTTGAATTCTGCATTGTAAGGTGAATGAGTCTATTTATTTTCCAATAGATGTGTTCATTGCATACTCCTCTGAATCTACAGTCATTTTAGATCTCTGTTTACCTTTATTAGACAATCTAATGTTGAACAGCAAAACAGGGCCTCTGCTGCTGTTGTACTCTGTATGTGTGGAAAAATGCATTCTCTTTTGTCATCTTTGGCAAGCGGAAGTAATGTTTACTGCAGATGTGACTGTCCTTTTCCTGCTGTTGTGGCTGTCATGCTGTTTTAGGCTGCTGAATAAGATGCTTGTGTAAGAGGGTGAAGGACAAAAATGTACACTAGAGATTTTTATTTTAGGAGGGAGTCTTATAAAAATCATGCTGTTTGCTCAGTTGATAACCCTTTATCTCTAATGGCTTGTTCTGGTTATGGCAGCTTTGTCTGCTGCAACAGGAGAGGTCTGTACTAACTGTATCATGATATAAAATGGATGTGACTTTCAGGCTTTTGGTTCTTATTGTAATGTTTTTTCCCTTAAAGATAATATTGCAGTTCTCACCAAGTTCAAGACATCAAGGTCAGCAGGTATTGTACTAACCAGCAATGTGCCTTGTTCTCGTTTTTTGTGTGTCATCTTTTAGTTTCTCTCTTTGTTCACATTTGGAATTTAGATCAGTTGTGTCATAGATATTTCATAAAACCAGATCATAGCTCAGTGAGATACATGGAACCATGTTAAATTTATAACATGTACCTCATACATTCTAATGTAAATTCTTGATTGGAAATAGAGATTGTCCTTATTAATACTATTGAGGAAAGACACTTTTTTTTAAATGCAAATACTGCCAAATACAGATAGAACTCTTTTCACTCCCAGCATATGTAATCAGCTACATTACTGATAGGTCAGTTCAATATTACAATTCTGAGTTATAGTTTCCCTTGAATTTAGCGTTAAACTCTCCTGCTCTACATTCATGATAATACAACATGATTAAAAATTGTAAGGCTTTCATCCCAGACTGTCATTGTCTAAAGTTCCAGCTTTCTTTAGGTATTTTGTGATATGAACAGCTTTGTTTTTCAAATAAATGGAACAAATATAAGAATACTAATTACTTGTTATCAACAACTATCAAGCAGTCAAATGTCCTTTTTTGTGACATGCCTCTCATGTTAAGTGCAGGTCTGTTTTCTGTTGTGTGTTGAGTATTTGTGCTGTGCTGAAGATGTACTGAATTAAAACGTCAGCGCTGAAGCCTTTTTCCTTGTCTATACTTCTGAAAATCTAGTGTTATTGTTTTGAAACAAATATTCACCACAGGAATTATGAACCTCTATTTTGAGAAGAGCACAGTTTTGGCTGGTCCTCAAAGTGATACCTAAGGGATAGTGGAATATGAAAGGAAGAAAATAATCCTGTTACTCCTGAGCTGAATTTTCAAGGATGCCTTAACACTTGGCCTGTAAATTTGCATCAGCAAACGTGCATGTGCAGATCTCCAAATATGGGTACACAAACAGAATTTGTATGTGCAAATTGTGCAAATATGTAACTGCAAATTTAACTATGCTGGCATAACTGAATTGTATAGACATAGCTTGCACCAACACTGTGGGAACACAACCTCCCTGAATGACAGTGACTCGGTCAGTGGCAGCATTCTTCCATTGACATAGCTGCATATACACTGGGGGTAGGTTGGCATATGGATTTTTTACACCCCTGACTGACATAGCTATGTCGACCTAAATGTTGAGTGTAGACCAAGTCTCAGATAACGTTTTATGGGGAAGCTTCGGGATGTTATAGTAAATTAATGTATCCGTTGTTTAGTATCTCCTCACCTTAGATGGTGAAAATATAAAGAATATATTTTAGAAACAAGCTTAAATGGACACACATTACTTTAAGAGCATTAAGTTTGCTCTTAAAGATAAAGTAAAGAATTTATTTTTACCCTGACTTGCTTATCATAACTTTTGGAGAAAACCAGATGAGTGCCAGATGAGATTTTGGCATCAGATATGGATACGTTTGCAGGCACTATAAGTGTAATAGATTTGTTACTTGGTTTATACTAGTGAGGAAAAAAATACACAAATAAACCAACACTGAGATTTGGAACAGTTTGTGGAAAGGAAAAAAGCTGATAATGCAGCACTTGATGTGAATTGTCGTTCCGTCTTGTAGAGCAACTCAGTGAAATACATGTTTGTCTGTGGTGTTTCTTCAAGCGCTTCTGGTAAACTGCATAGGCTTGATTTTAGATGTGCTAAGCCCCCACAGCTAAATTCAAATGAATGGGAGTTACAAGTGCTCAGCACCTCTGAAAATCAGACCCTGTGCACATCTATGTTCTTGGAAATGGAGGGAAATGATGATGATCTTCCCTCTCTATAAATGCTCCAATGTGTGGATCAAATAATTCTCTTATTTCTCTTGTTTCTTTTAAAGGCATATTTTTCCATGGACAGCCAAAAACAAACCGTCTTGTTAACCTTGTGCAAGAATGCCTCTTTGTAAAAGTGAAAGGCTGAATTGACAACACTTCAACCCTATAGTGAATACTTGTTTCGCTATATGACTATACAGTTTCATAGTAGCAGAATGTGGAACACACACTATTTTCCTACATTTTTTTTTTCTTAATACAAGGAAATTCTATAAAATGTATTTTATTATTTTTTTAGAATGAAACCTGAATATAATAAAAAAGTTGACATGTCAGCAACCTTTAAACATTAATAAAAGAAAAAAACTCAAACAGGAACAGAGTCCACAGCCTCCTTATTAGAGTTAAAGCCAATATAAACCCTAACTCCATAGTGATATTTATTAACTCTGCCCTTGCAAAGCATCTAGCAAGGAGAGGCAGTCAGTCATTCTGGTATTATAGTTCAAGCACAGGTGTGGGTGCGATAGATGACAGTGATATCAACACCAAGCACTAGTATTGTGGGCTGAGTATACATGTGGTAGGTAATGCTAGCCATCAGTGCTGCTGTCAAAGTAACACCATGAAGTCCCTTTTCCTTTTTTTTTTAAACAAGGAGTTTGGTAATCTGAGCTGTAGTTACCCCTCCTGAGTCTCTCGCCATATCTCCATTACACAGGCATCTGTGATTCACAAAGACCTCTTGTGAAGTTTCAGAGCTGTACTCTATTGATTCCCCAACAATGACAGGCCAATTTCAATTTCTAGCCAACATCCTCAGGGAAAATTGAATTTTCAGAACTCAAGCAGCAGGGTTCTCAATGTGTGACCCTTATAGATATGATCCTATTAGACATTCCATGCAAGAATGGATTTTATCTTCTGAGATTTCTGACATTCATTTATCAGAGTTTAATTTATTTCTGTGACTGCAAGGTTACAACGAGCTAGTGGAACTTGAGCACAACACTTGGAGTATTTTGTCTCCGAGGCTACAGGAATCATCTGTGAAGGAAGTTTCTGGTTGTTGTTGAGAAGTACAACTATTTCCCAGCTTTGGCTTTTGATTTTTTTTAATGTAAAATTAGTATTTCTAGCTTGATACATTGAATTTTTGCTTCACTTACACTTTCAAATATAAAAAGGTTTTAAATAGGACATACATATTTTGATGTGATTTTTTTTCCCCCTGCACCCTTTAGGGGAAGATAGCAATGGACCTTTGTGTGAAACAATTTCAAACACAGAATCAGAACTTCCAAGCAACTCTGAGGTAAGATACAAGATATGTGCCATTCACTTTTCAAGTCTGTGTCCATCAGTTGTAGAGAGGAAGGGGAGCACCGCTTTGGGAGATGGAATTAATCTTGATTAATAGTATGGCTGTAGATGTATTGACATTAGTTTGTCTAACCTGATTTAAATACTTATAATAGTATCTATGCAAACACTTTCTTCCTTCACTGGTTTTGTGATGAGCAAATCCTACCTTAATATTGTTCCTGTACATAGCATGATTATATATTGAATCTTGCAAAAGAGTGTTACAATATATCAACATTAAAAATATGGCGTGCAATTTCAACTGTAAGTATTTCCAATATCAATCTGAAATGAGAGCCACAGTGCAGTGTCTTGGCAATTGGGAAAACACAATGTTTCTGTATCAGCACAACACAGGATAACACAGCACATTGCTATATGTTACAAAACCTTATGATATTGGCCTGTTAAAGAGACAAAAGGCGTATTTGCATTCCTGTGCCCTAGGAATTATTTGAGATACAGCTATTGAACTTGGTTATGAAAAGGATAAAGGAAATTGTCTAATTTGGACATGTGAGCCCATCTGTTCAGTATAACGGTGTACAGTTCCATGTAATGAAATAACAAAAGATATAATTTGTTTAACAAAGCTCACAGTATCTCATTTAAGTATATACAGTACATTGTTTACTTAAAGAGAGGGAAGTGTATGTTCCCTATTTTTTAATTCAGGTTTAAAAAAAAATCTAAAAAGACAATATTGAAGATGACATTCATTTTTTATAATGGTTTAATGATTTTTAGGGGATGCTTGGGACATCTAATCCCCCAAGAGTTTCAGGTGTCACAGCAACAGAAATATGTGCCCTAGGAATATATTCACATGCTTGCTATGAGCTACTAAGCTGAAACAATATCCTTCAAACTTTGGGCATTGATAGGCCTTTTGCTACTACTGCTAAACCATTTAGGTGGTGAAATCTCTGTTCCTATCACTAAAAGGCTTACACAGAGTTGCTTCCATTTTCTTTGCACTGGTCCCTCAAAAATGGTTACAGTAGGAAAATATTAATGGTCCCACTTAAAGGCACAATGCAAAGGGGTTTAGAGAAAGGAATTAAATCATAACATTAAAGGAGAAATGAGAAGACAGCATACTCCTTACATTAGACCTATCAGCTTTGATTTTGTTTAGTTTGCAAGCATATCAAAACATCACTCCCCTTGGGCTGACTGTTTTGTTTGGAAGGGAACAGAGGCCTGGTCTACACTGGGGGGGGAGGGGGGTGTCGATGTAAGATACGCAACTTCAGCTACAGGAATACCGTAGCTGAAGTCGACATATCTTATTCTGACTTACCTCCCGTCCTCACGGTGCGAGATCGACGGCCGCGGCTCCCCTGTCGACTCTGCTACCGCCGCTCGCTCCGGTGGAGTTCCGGAGTCGACGGGGAGCGCGTTCAGGGATCGATATATTGTGATCACCGATAAATCGATCGCTACCCGCTGATACGGCGGGTAGTCTGGACATACCCAGAGGTGCACATTACAGGGACAGCATGACCAACCCATGATCGCTGTGGAAGAGTAAGCTATGGGTTTGTTTTTGGACAGTCATCAAGATGAGCTGTTAGGATTTTAGGTTTTATTATGAAAGGATAATCTCATTTGGTTTTGGTTTTTTTTGAGAGAGGGGTTGCATTCGTATGGAGTGATTTTCCCCCTGTAATTTATACCAGTACTTTTATCAAAGGATGATTTAATTAAAAACACAAAACAAAACTATAAACAGCTCAAAAAAAATAAATAAAAAACCACTCAGAAGCTCATCTGGCAACAAAAATCTACAATATTTATTTTTTCTTTCTTACCCACTCTGTTCTTATTTTTCCAATCTCCCTGCATTTGTGACCTACTTTGACATTACTTCCCTATTTCTTCCCCTCTCTTTTCACTGGGTACTTTATTTGGGGGGCGGGGGAGTCTTGCTTGTTTTGCTTCTTTTCTCAGTCTCTCCCAAGCAGGATGCAAGCCCGGTAACATTTGAGTGGAACTTTCTAATTCACAGTGTTTATGGGGGTTTGATATTGTGCAGAACGTGCCCTTTCTTAAATTCAGACCAGTAGCTTTCAAATGACAGGCACTAAATTCTCTGAATCTCTCAGGATGCCTTCAGTGCAATGGGAGAAGAAAATCTTAGCAGTTGCCAGAAAACAGCCGATTGGGGAGAAAAGGACAGGGATTCTTGTAAATAGCTGCAGTAGGGAGGACAGTGTTTCAAATTGCTTTCTATGGGTCTGTCATTTGAGACTGGATGCAATCATAGCATGGATTAGAATATAACCCTGCCTACCAGTCGCGTCCAACGTTAATCTTTGTAAATAGACTGCTTGGCAGACGCTCAGGGGATCTTACCTCGGTTATCCTTAAATCTCCAAGATATACATAAATAACTCTAAAGCACTCAAACAAGTGACAAACAGAGCTGATTTAAGTTATAATGAGCCTGATTCTCTGATGCATTTTATCCTATCTCGTCACTTAGATGAGTGCAAAGATGGTGGAAAGTGAATGTAAAATGCTACCATTCCAATTTGGTAGCATTTTACATCACTTTTCATGGGTGCAATTGATGACACAAATTGTGAGGCAGCAGAGAATCACTGACTTTATTGCTTTCCAATTCTTTAACTTCAGAAATAGAGGAGAAAAGGGCACAAAAGAAAAACAGTCCAAATTTTTGGAGTTAGAAGGGAAGTTTAAATGGAATTTTTTAATGAATGACCAATTAGTAAACCAGGTATTGTAGCACAGGGGAAATCAAATCAACCACAGTTCTTTGCCCTCTGTGATATCTGCACAATATGTATACTTGGGTAGGTTACAGATGGAGCTTTAGTCTAATCTTTGTCTATCTGCTACTATAGATTCAATTAAGGGATTAATGTTACTTGAACATAGCATTTTTTTGGTTTGTTGGGTTTTTTCAAGTTCCTCACCACCATAGAAGGCAATAGCACTACTCACATAAATCAGGTGGTGAACCTGTTAGAGCTGTTGAAAGTGATGAGAATTTTTTTTGCAAATCTGTGCTCCAAAATGTTCATCATTTTGGGTGATTTTATGTGTAAGAAATTTTGTCTTTTGTGAAGTTTTTGTGAAATTAAAATTTCCATCATGAAAGGCTCTCAGCACCATCATCTCTTATTAAACCAGATCATTAGCTAGTTTAAACTGCCATCGTTCCATTGTAGATAACGACGCTACACAATTTACACCAGTTGAGTGTCTGGCCCACTGACTTCAATGTGAGCTGCAGGTGGTCAGGACCTTTAGGTACGTGTCCCAAAATGAGTTAAATTTTATCTGAAAGAAATAGCAAACACCGATTACTTTCCCATTTTCCCATTTTAGACAGACCTATTTTCAAGTAGAAAAAATGCAAAATACCACTTTTTGTAAGTGTGAAATCAGATCAGTTTCAAAAATTGGAAACAAAATTTTAAAAATTGTAATTTTAAAATTTTTTTATTTTTTTTTTTTGCACAATTCTACCAAATGCATCAGTGAAACATTGCTAGAGGAATACTGTATACATATTGAGTACAGAAAATGTATAGAAGGTCAGATTTCTAAAGCACTCAGCATTGGGCTAATTCTGCTGCCACTGAAGTCAATGGAAATTTTATCTTTAACTTCAGTGTGAGCCAGTTCTATTTGGTTTTGAAAACCCCATTCATATTTCTTCCTGTTGTTATTGTTTGTATAGTGACAGTGCCAAGGCAATGTGCACAGACATGTGATAAGATCTATGCAAAAGATCTTGCAAATTAAGTATATGAGGAGAGAGTATTTCATCTCTCTGACCAGTTTGATACTTCTGAACTCCAGTAACGTCAGTGAAATTATTCATGTTTTACACCAGCGTGCCATGAGAACAGACTCAGGTCCCCAGCTTGATGAGAAAGTCTTTTAAATTATATGTGGGTGTTTCTAAGGACCTGACTACTAGGGTCGTCAACCCTCCCAGTTTCACCGGGAGTCTCTCGGAATCAGGCCCTATCTCCTGGAGGCTACTGAAGCCAAACCGGGAGATTTTAGGTGCTGAAAGTCTGGCAATGCAGCGGGGCTAAGGCAGGCTCCCTGCCTGTCCTGGCCCCGCGCCACTCCTGGAAGCAGCAGTCACATTCCTGCGGCCCCTAGAGGAGAGGCAGGGGGCGCCGTGAGCTGCCCCCGCCTTCAGCGCCGACTCTGCAGCTCCCATTGGTCAGGAACTGCTGCCAATGGGAGCTGTTGGGGCGGCACTTCCAGGTGCTGGCTGTGTGCACCACGCAGAGCCACCTGGCCATGCCACTGCCTAGGGGCCGGACATGCCAGCTGCTTCCGGGAGCAGCGTGGAGCCAGGACAGGCAGGGAGCCTGCCTTAGCCCTGCTGTGCCGCCGACCGGGAGCCACCTGAGGTAAGCGCCGCCCAGCCGGAGCCCACACCCCGAACTCCCTGCTCCAGGTTGGAACCCCCTCCTGCACCTTACCTCCCTCCCAGACCCTGCACCCCTGCCCCAGCCCTGAGCCCCCTCCCACACTCCAAACCCCTTGGCTCCAGCCTGGAGCCCCCTCCTGTACCCCAAACCACTTGGCCCAGCCCAGAGCCCACTCATGCACCCCAAATGCCTCACCCCAGTCCCACCCCAGACCCTGCACTCCCAGCCGGAGCCCTCATCCCCCTCCGGCACCTCAACCCTCTGCCCCAGCCCTGAGCCCCCTCTGGTACCCAAACTCCCTCCCAGATCTTGCACACCACACCCCCTTCTGCACCCCAATCCCCTGCCCCAGGCTCAGCCCGGAGCCCCCTTCCACACTCCGAACCCTTCCCGCCTCCCCCCCCCCGCCCAGAGGGAGGAGGATGGAGTGAGCAGGCTGAGGCCAAGGCCTCGGGGAAGGGGCAGGTCAGGGGGCGGGGCAAGTGTGTTTGGGTTTGTGTGATTAGACAGTTGGCAACCCTGCTGACTACACTGAGTTGTTGGCTTCATCCTACTCTGTTTCAGCTTTGTTCTGTACAATTATTTTATCTCCGTTTTTTTTTTAAAGTCAAGATTTTATTAAAACAAAGCAGCTGCAGAAGCCAAATAAAGGGTGGTATGAGGCCTAAAACTGATCATGGAGGAGATGAAAAATGTTTGAGTGCGAATGCAGAAAATAAACTCAAAAGGGAGAGCTAGTGGAGTTGTGCAAACTTGAAAAGGGTGGGCATTTTTCAAATGAAGAGGCTGAAATCCTTAGGGGAACAAAGAAAAGCAAGAATAAGCACAGTACTTTGAATTTTTAAACATATTAAATATGTAATCAGGGGAAACTTTTCCACTGAAGACTGAACTACAAAGATTTAATGTGCTTCTCAAGACTTCTTCCATGGCTGCCAATAATGGGGATTGGCATTAACAGCAGCAGGATCAGTCCTCAATGCAGAATTGAGACTAGGTAGCATATCAAGGCACTTTAACCATCAAACAGATTGATCTACATGCCGTTGTCTAGGTGGGACTTTGTTATGAGGATTTCTTTTTTGTTGTTTGAACAAAATATCAATAATTGAGTTCATTAGCAAAGCAAAGAAAGACAAATATTTGTTTCTTGACTTAAAATTTCAATGCAGACAAAACTTTTATGATTGCTTTAAATAAATTATATCGAAATTTCTTTATTTTTCTCAGGTAGAATTCTAGTAAATGAAAAAGTGAAAAGTAATAATAAAAACATTGTTTCATTTAATTGTAATTTCATTTCAGTTTTCAAAATTCTATGTTTATTCCAATTGACTAACAACAAGGTGTTTTTGTTTGTTTGTTTTTTTACTCTATTTTAATGCACATTATGTAAGATGAGTTATGGGAAATCCATTATCGAAATACTGTAACTGCACAGTACTAAAAAGCAAGGATTTTATGTGAAGTAAATAGGCTACTCTGTCCAGCATCAATTCCAGTTGGCAGACAGCTGCCATATTTTCACATCATGTGTCATCCTCTGCAGTTGCTGCACCACTTTATATCCTACCACATCCCATTGCTCATCTCCATCTTTATGCTGTGAGTTAGCTTTGGAAACAGATTTGTAAAATGACAGCACAAAGGATTATCACTTATTAGAAAAGCATTTTCTGCAGTTGTTTTGCAAACTGTTATCTTTTTCCATTTTTACAGGCTTGATCCCACAAACCGTCACTTGTGCAAGCAATGCTTATTCACACTGGTGGGATCGGGGCATGTGGTTAACTTTACTCTCATTATTTACCTTGCCTTATTCACATCAGAAACCAAATCATTTCTCTCATCATACTTGTTTACATTATGAGGTGCATGTTGTACTTCTAGTTTACATGGGAAAAATAACTCTAGATGAAAGACCTAAATAACCCTTTCCAAAATTAAGTAGGAAATAGCCTATTTCTATAAGGTTTTCCTTTATCATGCGTTCCAGAATATTTACTGATTATCATTTTTACAGTGGAAAATCTTAGAGATATTGGATTGGCACTTTTTTAAAAGTATTCTTCTTGTTAACTATGCATTTCTATGTTCTACTAAACCATGCAAAACATCAGTGGCTATAATCCAAACAACCTGTTTTGTCTGAAGAAGTAAAGATGATGAAATGATTTAGTTAATCTACAGTTTCCTGGGGCTGAAATCCAGCAATCACTCTGCACAGCTTTTGACAAAAACAAACTTCATTGTTTCTGCTGAAATAACTTTTAAAACATCCTGCTGCCTTTGCATCATCACTAACATTATGTCTTTCCCGTGATGCCACTGGCAGGGCCTAAGCAGCACTGAGACTTCTTTACTCATCCCTGATCATCAAGTGGTAAGCAGCAAGCAGTATTCATGCTTCCCTGCATGAATTTTTGGTGTCTTCTATTATTGTGTGCCAAAATACAGCCCCCTGAAAATTTTCCAGTTTTTCAAACACGTCATCATCCTTCAAAAGCTAATCATGTTTTCTCTAGTATGTGAAAGCAAATGTGGATTTGAAGTATTCTGATAGTAGATTGGCCTATGGGCACTTGTTGTGTTTGGTTGCAATCCATAAACCAAGCGAGTTGAAAATGATTATATAACTTAATGTGGACAAAATTAAAATGTTAAATGAGAGAACTGGAAAGTTTTTCTTTTATGTTTTTACTCATTGTTTTGTTTGATGAAATAATCTATATAGGGTGTGTTCTAATTCTGGTGTTATTAGTCCATGTAAGTTTGTTTCCTCCTACCATAATGATCAATAGTTCTGTGTCAGTGTCAGCATGATACTTTAAAATGTGTTAAAGATCAAGAAATAATCACTAACATAATTTGAGGTATTTCATGTGCTTGTTTCTTATTGCAATAAATTGTAAATAATAAGTATAATGCCAACTCATCAATACTGAAAAATTTTCAAACCTATTCTTTGTTTGCTTCACCAAATATACTACATTACTACACCCGATATACATACTCCCGTCATAAAGCAAAAAAAAAAAAGTTTACATATAAATGGAGAATTACATGCTGAGATGCACTGGAATTGTATGCTTACTTACACTGGGCTCTGGTGTCTTACATTAATATACATTTTCTCTTTTAGCATAGTTTTTTTTCTTTTTTTGTTTGTTTTTTGTTTAAATGTTTCCCTGTGTCTTCCTAGTTTTTCTGTGTATTTTAACTTCAGACCAAAAACATTAAACTGCTTTGAACTGTACCTTCACACCCCCTCAGTATCTAAGTAGTTCAAAATCATAAGAACTGTAGTGAACATGCAGGAAATACTTATAAGCATATATTTTTTAAATTGAAAACTTTATTGCAACTTTGTGCTGCTTGCGTGAAGCAAACCTTGAAATTGGGACATTCATGGCCTTCACAAGGTTTATATTACACTTCCCTGGCAAACTGAGAACAACCAATTAAATTATATTGATTACTTAAGCAAGAAAATGCTACAGAACCTTATGCTAAATGAATCCCTGGTGTAATAATTCCACTGGAGTTACTGGAGAGCTATACCAGGGATGAATTGGCTCATTGATTTTTGGTGGAGCACATATACATTTGCATGTGCTGTGTAAGTGCCGTTACAGAATGTTTTTGTTCTTTGGGAATGACTTTCATTTTAGAGGGTTTTTTTAGCGTGGAAGAACTTTAATCAGTATCTCTCTCTTTTAGTTTTAAGAAAATGTTTAGCTAATTCTGTTTAAAAGGTGTTTTTTCATGAACATCAGATTCAGAAATTAAACCTAATAAGCTCCTGGTGCAAACTATGTTTACTTTATGAGCCACTTTATGATTAAGGCTACGTTTTAGTCATGGGTATTTTTAGTAAAAGTCATGGACAAGTCACCGGCAATAAACAAAAATTCACGGCCCATGACCTGTCTATGACTTGCTGGAGCTGAGGGGTGGGGGAGACCAAGACTGCCCCAGCAGTGGCCGGTGCGGCTGGCCAAGGGGCCGCCCTAGCTGCACTGGCGGCCCTGGGGTCAGTCGTGCCGGCAGCTGCAGAAGTCACAGAAGTCCCGGATAATCACGGAATCCGTGACCTCTGTGACAGACTCGCATCCTTACTTATTATTAGAATGCTGATTCCTGTAATGCAGCTTTCAGATCTTTTTAATCTTCATGCATTCCAGTATCCGCAGGGAATATTTCTGCAATGGATTGTCAATTTGTACAAATTAATAACTAAATTATTTATAGTGTATTAATTTCAAATTTCTATGATATTATCTCAGAGATAAAAATCTACAAAACAGGCTAGAAGTAAGACAGTCTTAACTATGCAATTAAAAAAAAACACTAAATCATCAGTTTTTAAACATTATCCTTACAAATCTGCAAAATATTCTAAAATTGAATTTATTTTAGGACAGGTGAAATAAAGATTTTAATTCTGAGGGATGATGGACATTGTCTATTGCCTTCTCCGGCAATGGAGGCCAATGATTGTACAACTCCTAGAACCAAATGTGGGAATAATGTTATTGGCATAGTTAGCTAGTTAACTTATAAATTATTTTCATATCCTATAGCTCTTCAATACAGTACAACACTGATTAAGCTAATTGATAAGGCATCCTTCCTAAATATTTGAAAATGACTGAAGTACTTCTTAGATTACAGTTGTTTTAGTGCCCAAAAGTACCCATACACTGTGAAAATAAAATGGAACATTAGAAAACTATAGATTGGAAGAGCAGAGTTTGAGTCTTTGGTCCCAAGTCTGCAATGTTGGGGCTCTGTGGGATGTTAGGGAATGTGGTACGGTTGGAAGGGAATCAAGGCTGGGAAGTACTACATTCCAAAACATGCTCCCCCCCAGGACCACACAGATTTTTGACTGGAAATAAATGTGGAAATGAATGCTCAAAGCAGAGTTCCCTCTTTGGCTTCTACTGTGTAGACACGTAGGTGGGGAGATGTTTAATGGCAGGATGAATTCTGAGGAATTACTATGTTGCCATTAGAAAGAGAGTGGTGCGCTCAGCAGCATAGACAGGTAGGCCTTCCATGTTAATGTCTTGGAATGCAGGATGTTAGGATTTGCCTGAAATCATACAGGGTTCAATCATCAGTGGTTGTTACAACATCACCTGGTAAATGATATTGAATGTGTGTGTTTTTTGCCTCAGTAATGAGGGATATGTGACAGAATAAATTAAGGTCAGAACTCTGCACGTTAGTGGGTACTTAATGTTAAGTAAACATTTACAACAGTCACTGTCACTTAGTGTGAATCCCAGGTGAGAGTCAAGTCATTTTTATAAAGCACCTTCTGTTATGATTTTTCAGTCGTTGATGCCACATCCAGCAGTTTGCTTTCCCCTCTTGTATTAGTGGTGGCTGGTTTGTTTGCTTTGGATCTGGGGCAGGGCGTGAGGTGGTCAGGACTTGTACATAAACTATTTAGTTGTGTGATAGGATTTAAATGGGTGGGATTTTAGACTGCAATTAGTGGGGTGGGCCCACCAATAAACTTTTAGTCATTTTACACTAGTGCATCAAGGCAAAACAGAATGTGAAATTTGTTTAGAGTTGTCCTTAGCTCTAGGGCAGGCTTTGTTTAATTCCAGACTCAAATTTTAGTCCAGTTTATAACCTTTCTTTTTAGATTTGAAGTCCCTGGGATAGGGCTTTAGCTCATACCTATATGAACACTGCAACATACTGCTAGCCCGGCCATTCTTTGAAGTAGCTGTTAAGACATAGTCCCTTCTGCCAACTTCTGGTGGATGGTTAGGTGGAAAATAAAGATTCAGGGTTAAATTATGAACTCAGTTAAAGCAGTGTAACTTTAATAGGCTTGCACTTGCGTAATTACATGAAAGGGAAATTTTGCCCTTAATAATAGGATAGTGATAATGCTCAATTACCTGACTGGTCCAAATTTAATAAAATCACATCACTCTCATATAGGTTATTGGACTGTATGTATCATTGGAGAGTTACTATCGGTGAAGATTGGAAACCAAAAAGTGAAATAAATTTTTTTTTTTTAAGAATAGTTTCTATTCATCTTTCTTATAATTGTTGGATTTATCAGGTTCTTGTAGGCACTGGTAAACTATGAACATTCTGGGTGACATCATTTCATAAGCCTCTACCAGTCATCTGTAACACTTGTGAGGTACCTTGTAATTCAGTTATAGATTCCTACAAGAGCCATATAAATCACATAATATAATAGCTGCTAAATTGAGTCAGGATATTAATGAATGTAATAGATAGTTTGTCTCACATCAAACTGATCTGCCATAATTAAAAACAGAACTGTTAAGAAAGAGAAAATATGAATCTGTCCAACTGCTACTTTTCAATATACAACTGATGCAAGTTACTTTACAGTGGTTTTATATGTGAGCCCCTAAATGCGCACATGCACACAGTGGGCAAGAGTGGTCTTGCTTTTGCTGCAAAATCTAAAAACAGAAGATTGGAAGGGCATAATTAGTGTGCTTAATAAGGCCTTCCACTAACTGTTACAGATACATATATTTGTGCTGACTGAGAGAGAGAAAGATTCATATGAGTATTTTTCCCATCCTAGATTAGATCCAAACAGAAATTATAAGATTTTTAGATATCTAAACTGACAGTACTTTATGGACAAGAAAAAAATTAACAATGTTCAGTACCATGTAACTGTGGTCAGAATTTGGTTCACCTGTGAAACCTTGTGGATTTCACTATAAGTGAAGGCCAAATATAGTCCTAGGTGTATTGTAATACCTGAACACTGCTGACCTCAGTGGAAGTTTTGCTTGATTAAGGATTGCAGAATTGGATTGATTTTCTTTGTTTGTGTAGATTTTAATCAGGTTATTTGAGTCAAATGCTGTTCAGTGTAGTCAGCTCCCACTGTCTTTTCACACAGGTAATTAAAGGCAGAGTTTAGCTCCTAGGGCCTGATTTTTAGAAGAGACTTCCCATTCTGAGTGCATAAAATACTGCTGGTGCACTTTTTTCAGGCCAAATACGTATGTGTGCAATTGAAAGATGTCGACAAATTGGGGAGAGTCCAGAGAAGAGCAACAAAAATGATTAACGGTCTAGAAAACATGACCTATGAGGGAAGATTGAAAAAATTGGGTTTGTTTAGTCTGGAAAAGAGAAGACTGAGAGGGGACGTGATAACAGTCTTCAAGTACATAAAAGGTTATTACAAGTAGGAGGGAGAAAAATTGTTGTTCTTAACCTCTGAGGATAGGGCAAGAAGCAATGGGCTTAACTTGCAGCAAGGGAAGTTCAAGTTGGACATTAGGAAAAGCTTCCTAACTGTCAGGGTGGTTAAGCACTGGAATAAATTGCCTAGGGAGATTGTGGAATCTCCATCATTGGGGATTTTTAAGAGCAGGTTAGACAAACACCTGCCAGGAATGGTCTAGATAATACTTAGTCCTGCCATGAGTATAGGGGACTGGACTAGATGACTTTTCAAGGTCCCTTCCAGTCCTGTGATTCAATGATACTATTTAAATGGCTATCTGATTCAAATCAAGTATTATATGTGTAAATAACAATAATTGCATCTGTAAGTATTCACCCTCATATTTATTTGTACGTACAAAATTATAAATGGAAAAGCATATGCTACTCATAAAACTCAGATCCAAAGTGTCTTTTCTTCCCTTTCTTGGATTGCATGTTTTCTGGGATCTTCTCCGTCTTCAGGGGTACGTGGATGCAAAATCATTCTCCAAGGCTCCCCATGTTTCTTCTCTAAGAAATTAGTCTAGCTTAGTTGGTCTGGTGTATTTATTATACACAAAAGCAAGTATTGCTAGTTAATGAACAAGAGGACCAGGAGGGGATTAAAGAATAGTTCTGAAAAAGATTACATTGTCACTGTATGTTTCTCTATTTTGAAATATATGGTCGATAATTCTCTGAAAGGTTGGCATATTCTAAAGAAACATAGAAATTGCTACATCAGAACAAATGATTGGTAGCTGGTCCATTATCCTGTCTCTCACAGTTGCCAATACCACAAGTAAAAAATGAAGACATAGGCCCTCAATTCACTTTTTCTATGTTGTGGAACATAAGGGACATCTCTTTCTTGATCCCATTTAAGGATGAGTTTATGCCCTGAAGCATAATTTTATCAGATATGGCATTATATAGCTGCCCATTTGCTTTTTGTGTGCTGCATGACTCCAAAATAAAGTAAGCCTAAGAAAAAGATGCTTGATCTTTTTATGAGCTGCTGCTTGGTTTTGTTGTTACATTTGTGTGCTGATGACCTTTTCTTGGCCTGTTGTTTTGATCTGCTTGACTTTTTAAGTGACCTCATAGTTAGCAACAGGTAGTATTATAGAAATAAAATAAAGAAATTGGGGGCTCCTCATTTTTACTTGATGAATGCTAGTTGCTGCATTAGCTTTATTATAATTAAAGATTATATATTATAGCCATATAGGGCTTGTTTTAATCCCCTCCCCATATCCTTGAAGCTATATCTTGCCTTTGATTTGGACACAGAATTCTCACTACCTTCACTGTGAGTTCTGTGCTTGGAACAATGTCAAGATTTGGGTCCTTGAAGTGGATAACATGCTTGCTAACTCCTTGATGGTTGTTCCAACAGACCGGAAGGAGATACAATCTGTTCCTGAAGCGACGTCTCAGGGTAAAACAGTGATGAATGATACTGCTAGTGGCTTGGATGGCTGTGGTCATAACTTGCTTCACTGTGTCATGTCTTTTGTTAATTGGGAGCAAAGTTCATACTCAGATAACTACGTTGCAAGTTTTTAGAGAACTTTTTATGTACTTCGGGGTGTAAACTAGGGCAGAATTTGATCTATAGCTAATAATGACATACGGTACCTCCTTTGTACATGATTCCTTTTTCAGCTCTAATAAAATGTAGAATTGAGCCCTAAAAACCAAACTCAGCCCTTGTGTAAGCACATGCAACTCTTACTGAAGTCTATGACACCTAAGCCCATTTAGGCCAGGGTTGAATTTAGCCCTAAGTGTCAGCTTGTGTAGATTGCTTTATTTTGGCAAGGCAGATTTTCTGGAGTGGGATAATCAGAAAGATCCTGTTTAGAAAAGTTGTTGTTTCTAGACAAAATGTTGTATGGGATTATCCAAGCCTAACAGTATTGGCAAGAGCAGACATGCTGAAGTAGTGATCTTTATTAACTTGAAAGTATAAATTCAGTAGCTCACTTACACTGAGAGAGATTTATGCCATTCTAGCATCCTGCAAATGAAAATATGAAATTAACTGTTAGATTTTTTTTTAAAGTACAGTTTCCCTGCTTTCCTGGTCCATTGGTCTAGGAGATTTTTTTTTTAAAGGAAGCAAGTAATAAATTATGTAACCTGTTAAATGTAACCCATATGTTCTTTGTGTTCCAATTATATATGTGATCATCTAAGTATTGTTGCTTAGCAATGTTTCTGGACAACTGCTGCTTTAATGAGCCTTGTTTTGAAATGGAAAGTGCATGGACTTTCTTTACTTTCAGATTTCACAGTGGTAGCCGTGTTTGTCTGTATCAGCAAAAAGAATGAGGAGTACTTGTGGCACCTTATAGACTCACAAATTTATTTTGGCATAAGCTTTTGTGTGCTAAAACCCACTTCAGTTAGCCCACGAAAGCTTATGCCCAAATAAATTTGTTAGTCTATAAGGTGCCACAAGTACTCCTCATTCTTATTACTTTCAGAGTTGCTGTAGTGCCACCTGCTTTCAGGTTTTTAAACTGTGCCCTTGTTTGTCTTTGTTTAAAGGGGCATGCTAATAATTTACAGTGGGCATCATACTCTCTGACACTGAAGCACTTACCATGTTCATTTTTGCAGAAAAGTGTTAAACTGAAAAGAGGCATTTCAGAAGATTGTGAGTGACCTTTAACTATAGTAGTATTGCCAAGAATTGCTATACTAATGTGTTTCATTGTATATTGTAGTGTATATAACATTTGTGACACATACGGTATTTGGATGGGCCATGCATGTGTGCAGCCAGTTTTGAGATCACTTCATAACTCCCATATAACAGATGGAGCTGTTGAAATTTCACCTGAGTTCAAATCTCTTCAGGTCTGAAAAGACTGAAGAACTGAACCAAACTGAGGAAACAATCTTCTCCTCTGCCTGGTTTCGGAGCAATAACAAGATTTGGTTTTTAATTGTGTTCCTTATGTTCTCCACAGATTAACAAGAGACACCAAAGCAAAGATTCTGTTTTCTTCAGGGATGGTGTCCGACGAATTGACTTTGTACTTTCTTATCTGGATGATCCAAATAAAGAAGAGGAAAAGAAGGCAGTAAGTTTCTTTTATGATATCTTCTGAATGATGACCTAGCATAGACCTGAACCTCCTTACTAAGCCCTTGGAATCATTTACATGAATTGGACTATGTAAAATCTCATAGCTTGGAAAGAAAGTTCATGCAATGTACTGAAGTTTCTGGTGTGGAATTTTATTGTGAATTAGGACTGATCCTGCAAAGTGCTGATCACGCTCAGATCCTGCTTATTCTCAGCACCTTGCATGACTGGGTCCTTAAGCCTAACTAATGATGATAATATTTTCTTCATTTAATGATATTGCCCTATACACCTCTATCCCAATATAACGCGACCCTATATAACATGAATTCGAATATAACGCGGTAAAACAGCGCTCCGGGGGGGCGGAGCTGTGCGCTCCGGTGGATCAAAGCAAGTTCAATATAACACGGTTTCACCTATAACGCGGTAAGATTTTTTGGCTCCCGAGGACAGCGTTATATCGGGGTAGAGGTCTAATTAGTATACTGATGGTGAAAAATTTCTAAGTAGTCATAATGAAGCCTTTCCTTTTTCGAGAAGCATGAACTGTAATCAGACTGATGTACGGGAGCAACTGAAATACTTTTATACAGAAGAACTGCAGCCTGATTCTCCTCCCATTGATGACAGTAGAATTTTGACTTCAGTTAGAGCAGGACTGGACCTGCAGATGCTGCACTGATCTACTTTGATTGTCCTTTTAATACCGATAATGGAACAGCAATCAGTGTCAGAACATCAAAAGCTGAGTTAAAACTAAAAAATTACTTTGCAAACTCAATTTACAGCAGCTCTAGGTTCCTGGAAATTGAATTATAGGATACTCGCATAAATCTCAGGTTTCTTTGAAATTGCTGTCTTCAGCTACCTTCAGAGCTCCAGATACTCTTCCTCATTATAAGGCTCCTCTTTAGACACTTTGTCTGAAATAATAATGTTTAGTTTCTTGTACTTTGTGCTAAATCTCATCTGTCTGCCCAGAGCTTATTAAAGGGGATGCCTCTCTTCTCATGTTTTACCCTGGCAGTTGTGATCTACTGATGCTCGACCTTACTGTGGAAGGCCCTTGAATTTGGAACTAACTGTTGCTCATTGGTTTATTGACCTTCGGAGCATGCTGCAAAACCAATCTATTTTGCAGGCTTATCTAGTTTGAAAGGGGTGAATGGGGTGAATGGGGCTCTGGCGAAGGGGTATAGTTTTGTTGATTGAGAAGGATAGTGAATGTGGCCATTAGTTCAACAGTGTGTGCTTTTAAATGGTATTGTACGTGAGCTCAAGAGACATGGATTAGTACATTCAGTAAATCTTAAAACAATTTAATAAATAATTACATAAATAAATGTAGGCATCTTTTCCCTTGAGAAGCCAGACTGAACTGCTGCATTTTAATAAATGTTTGCTGCTAGTCCTAGCAACTTTTGGTCTGGATTTCCTCATTTGGAAGCATAGTGTAAAAATAATCTTATCTTACAAGATTTTATTGAGATGAAGATGACTGTGTCCTTGGAATCTGGAACCCAAAGGAGCAAGAGGTTCTGATAAAACTTTTAGTTTAGGAGTGGAAATAATCCACCCTGAAACCATGAGGTAATTTTTTCCCCCTCTGCTTGTAACAACACTGAAAATGCTTGGCTCCCGAGGGTGATAGTGCACAGAGACTAAAGCTGACTTAGTCTTTTGGTAGTCACTGGAAGGGGAAGGAATCTTGATTCAGATTTTCCACTATTTAACGTACAGAGTCAAAGGGAAAAATGCTTCAAAGGGAAAAAATCCAATTTCAGAAAAATTAGTGGCTTAGCCAAGTGCTTTTATGTAAGCAGGTGTGAGTTATTAGAATAATGTTTTAGTGTACTGGTTAATAGGAATCATCATTTTATGATGAATGACATGCCTGGGGAAAGACGAAATAAGGCAGGCACCATGAGAAAAAGTTACACTTGATGATACAGTGTCCAGGTTTGATACTGTTGTCCCTACTACTGTGAGTAAGAGCTGCATGACTGGGTCCTGCCTTTCCACAGCTGATCTGCACAATATTTATTTAACAGTTAAAGTGTCTAAAATGTAATTTTAGGGTTTCACCTACAGGCATTCCTGCATTAAATTAATTTGGTCTATTTACCTGTGTGGGCCATTGATGACTCGCATATCCCTCTACATCCTCCTGAGGTTTCTGTGATGGATGAGGTCTGTGTGAGGCTGTTAGTGGAAGAGCTTTTATTCCTAATTACTTACTTTATACTCCCGGCACAACAATCTCAGCGCCTGCCCCTTCTAGGCTCTCTGCCTGCATTTTGCCTCATTGCCAAAGTACTTGTAATTTATTTCCTTTTATTTTTATTATTAAAGCATTCTCATTCCTTTAAAAGCAAGTTTAAAGTGTTCCTGAAGATGGAATCTTCCATACAAGAGGCCATTAAGTGCAAGCGTGCTGGGTTTTGCTGCAAAGTTACAGTTGGAACTCAGCACTCAAGTTCCCAGCAAGGCAAAACAGCAAAGGTGGCGACAGTGGGCCACATTTCCGGAAAGAATCAATAAGTGATTTTTCTAATTATTTTTTTGTCTACTTTAATATTTTGGGCCTGACTTAGGCTGTTTACATTGTAAGCTCCGGTATTTCCAACCACAGGCATTTAAAAAAGAAGTCACGAGATTGGCCTAAAAATGCTAATATTTTTAAAGATAGTAAAGTTGGGGTTATTTTGGCTTTTTTAATATGTCTTCACTTTCTTGAGCCATTAGAGATTGCATTTGGAATAAGAAATAGGACTTAACTATATTTTTAAGCCTAATGTATATTTATGGTGCCAAAAATGTTATGTAAGTAACAATCGTATTTTTTCTAAGGGCATGTCTATACTTACCTCCAGAGCGATCGATCCAGTGGGGGTCAATTTATCACATCTAGTGAAGATGCGATAAATCGACCGCCGAGCGCTCTCCCGTCGACTCCGGCACTCCATCGGAGCGAGAAGCATACGCAGAGTCGACGGGGGAGCGTCAGGAGTCGACCTACCACAGTGAAGACACCGTGGTAAGTAGCTCTAAGTACATCGACTTCAGCTACGCTATTTTCATAGCTGAAGTTGTATAACTTAGACCAACTTAGCTCGCCTCCCCTCCCCGCCCTAGTGTAGACCAGGCCTAAGAAAGGAACTGCAAGGCTGGGCTCTTTAATACATTATTAGCTAAATTTATACTTTCCTATTAAGGAACGAATGCCTTGTTTAAGAGTTTGTGCTCCCTGCACTCTTATGCAAATGTTAATCCTCCTTTTAAACAAAAAAGTCCTGTGTTCTAGTTGTAGGAGGCAGAACAGCTGGAAAGATCAGTCCCTGACTTACAAAACCCTAGAATTTTATTCTTGTAATCTCAATAAACTAAAAAAAGCAACATCAAGAAAAAAATCAAAAGAGAATGCCCTTTCTTCTGACATAAGCACATCTGTTCTGCACTTCCCTGATCTTACAACCTAGCCTCCTTAGCAGCCCCAACCCAGCCAACGTGTCTGGAGAGAGTAGAGTTTTTATTACAGCAACAATCCTATAAGACCTTGCTTGTTAAAAAGCACTCTACTGCTTGTTTAAAAGCACTCTATTCCATTCTCATATTGATCCTTTGGCTTCTGCATATACAGCAGTATGATTCCCCAGACAGGATTATCAAGAGGCTTCCTCTTCTACCATATAGCAAAAGGAATAAAAAGATGGAAGAGGACGCCAGTCAATAGAGAAAAGAAAGAAACAGAAATACATACATGATGAATGGTTCGGCACTTCTGCTATAAACACAAACCCCTATATATTGGGCAGCACTAGTCAACCTCGGGAAACAAGAAGGAGGAGAGAGAGGCTTAATTACCAAGATTACAAGTGGAAAAAGATGAAATAAAAACCCAAGGCAGTAGTTAATTCAAAAGCACAATTGAAAGACTGCACACAATGCTTTCTCTCTAAGAATATGTCTACACTGCAGCTGGGACCCTGCTTCCCAATGTAGATAGACAGATGTGCTAGCTCAGCTCAAGCAAACATGCTAAAAATAGCAGTGTAGCTGGGGGTAGCATGGACAGCAGCTAGACCAGAGGTGGGCAAACTACAGCCCGGGGGCCACATCCAGCCCTTCAGATATTTTAATCCAGCCCTCAAGTTCTCGCCGGGGAGCTGGTCCGGGGCTTGCCTCGCTCCATGCCTTCCATGGCTCCGTGTGGCTCCCAGAAGCAGCGACATGTTCCCCTCCGGCTCCTATGTGTAGGGGCAGCCAGGGGTCTCTGCACGCTGCCCCCGCCCCAAGCGCTGCTCCTGGAGCTCCCATTGGCCAGGAACTGTGGCCAATTGGGAGCTGCAAGGGCTGTGCCTGCGGACGGGGCAGCGCGCAGAGCTGCCTGGCCACGCCTCCACGTAGGAGCCGGAGCAGGGACATACCGCTGCTTCTGGAAGCTGCTTGAGGTAAGCGCTGCCCGGAGCCTGTACCCCTGACCCCCTCCTGTGCCCCAACCCCCTGCCCTAGCCCTGATCTCCCTCTTGCCCTCTGAGCCCCTCGGTCCCAGCCCCACTCCCACCCCAGAGCTCACACCCCCAGCTGGAGCCCTCCCCCCCCCCATCCTGCACACCAACCCTCTGCCCCAGTCCGGATCCCCCTCCCACACCCTGAACTCCTCATTTCTGGCCCAACCCGAGAGCCCTCACCCCCTCCCGCACCCCCCAATTTCATGAGCATTCATGGCCCGCCATACAATTTCCATACTCAGATGTGGCCCTCGGGCCAAAAAGTTTGCCCACCCCTGCTCTAGCCTGACACTGGGAATGCTACCCTAACATGCTGCTTTGTAAATGTACAGCTCAATCAGTAGAGGAATGGAAGAATCTTAAGTAGTTTGTCCAATCAAATACAGTGAAACACAAATGCATTCAGTAGTGAAAGTCATTGATCAGCGGCATCTCTTATCTGTGTCCTGACTGAGGATATCACTTTGAAGAGTAATAACAA